GGGCGGGGCCGACGGGCTGGGAGGGGCTGGGAGGCACTGGGCGGGGCGGGCGAGGGCACGAGAATCACGCCCCCGTCTCCCTCTAGTGGACAGTTTCCGCAGCCGCTGCTCGTCAGTCAGCTCCTGCAGCGATTTGGAGGATTTCTCTGAGTCGCTTTCCAGACGGTAAAACTTGGACTTGGGGAAAGGACCACCTCAAAAGGGTTTCTGGGGAGACTAGAAACAGTCTTTTGCAGGGAAATTGGGTGATGGAGGCTGGGAGCCTTGAAACCACAAAGGTGGGGAACGTGGGAAGTTCCAGAGCCTCCCCAACACTGGTCCTTGATTACTCCTTTCTCGCAGGGGTCTCCGCCGCCGTGGCAAGCCTCCCAGCCCAACGACCTGGAGTGGGTCCAATACGGTGAGTAGAAGGGGGAACATAAACCACTGGAACACAGCTGTCCCCATTTGCCGTGATTCCTTCCTGGGGACCAAATGCAGAGGCGACTCTGAATGCTTTTGGCAACAGGGCTTTTTTGTTTAAGCGAGGGTCTCGCTCTGTCCTCCAGGCTGGGGTGCAGTGGGGCAGTCGCCATTCATAGCAGCCTTCAACTCCTGGGCTCAAGGGATCCTCCCACCTTGGCCTCTGGAGTAGCTGGCACTAGACTTTTTTTGGGGGGAGGTGGGGTTGAGACTGCGTAAGGGGAGTAAGTGTTGTCTCTTTATGTTGCCCAGGCTGGCCTGGAACTCCTGGCCTCAAGCCATCCTCAGCCTCCCACAGCGCTGAAGTTACAGGCTGAGCCACCACACCTGGCCTGGGAACAGCGTGTTTAGAGAGCTTTGGATTGGAGGAGGAATAATGAGGGGCACGTGATGCTCTTTAGGGCTTTGACTTCTGATTGTCAGGTCTTAAAACCTGGCTCTTCCTCCTACCAGTTGTTTGATTCTGGGCATTTTTTTTTTTTTTTTTTTTGAGGCAGAGTTACGCTCTTGTTGCCCAGTCTGGAGTGGTGCGATGGTGCGATCTCAGCTCACCGAAGCCTCCGCCTCCCAAGTTCAAGCAATTTTCCTGCCTCACCGTTCCCAAGTAGCTGGGATTACAGGCGCACACTACTACACCCTATTAATTTTTTTTTTTTTTTTTTTTTTTTTTTTTTTGAGACGGAGTTTCGCTCTTGTTACCCAGGCTGGAGTGCATGGAGTGCAATGGCACGATCTCGGCTCACCGCAACCTCCGCCTCCCGGGTTCAGGCAATTCTCCTGCCTCAGCCTCCTGAGTAGCTGGGATTACAGGCACGCGTCACCATGCCCAGCTAATTTTTTGTATTTTTAGTAGAGACGGGGTTTCACCGTGTTGACCAGGATGGTCTCGATCTCTTGACCTTGTGATCCACCCGCCTCGGCCTCCCACAGTGCTGGGGGCTTGAGCCACCGCGCCCGGCTTAATTTTGTATTTTTAGTAGAGATGTGGTTTCTCCATGTTGGTCAGGCTGGTATCGAACTCCCGACCTCAGGTGATCCGCCTGCCTCAGCCTCCCAAAGTACTGGGATTACAGGCATGAGCCACCGCGCCCCACATTCAGGGCAGTTCTTTCGCCTCTCTGTACCTTAGTTTTTATCCGTTCACTAGGGATGGTAATGGCATCACCTCCCGGGGCTATGTGAGCAAGCCAGGAGATTATTTTGCATATAATGAATGCCCAGTAGGTGTCAGGCTTTATTTTTCCCCAAGGTCCTTAGGCTCAGGATTTCCAGTGGGATTTGGGGGGACAGGAATAGAGGGACGGTGGCTGACCCCCTTTCCTACCTTCCCCATCACCAGAAGTCTACCCCTGTGGAACGCAGCCACCATGAGAAACGTCCGGCCAATTCCGGGGGCTGGGTCCCCATCAAAGGTGAGCCTGGGACTCCACATCCCCTCTCCCAGTCCCAGCTCCTGTTGGTATGGTAGGGGGGCAGTGGTATATTGGGGAGCCCCCCCACACCCACACCTGCTCTCACAGAGTACAGCTTGGACCACCAGGCCGAAATAGATGCACGTCTGAAGGCCTTGCAGGAGTACATGAACCGACTGGACATGCGGTCATGACATGGAGAGGGGGTACTGCCCCTCATCCCCCACCCACCACTGAGTATGGCATGGGGGGTACGGCCAGGGTGGCCTCCAGCCCCGCCCAGGCCCTGCCCTGGCCCCGCCCCTCCACGTGCCCCTGGGGTCTCAGGCTTGTGAGGCCCTGACCCCAATCTCTCCCCAGGCAGTACATGCTGGGAGGGAGGATATGTGCATTTTGTAAATAAACATATTTGCCCGTGGGACCCCTCAGCTTATGACTAAAGGGTGAGGGTGGAGTGGGGAGAAATGTAGAGGAAGAGAAATTGCGGGGTATAACTGGGACCTGTGTGTCTGTGCCTCAGAGGCAGATCCGGCCTTAGGCCCAGGAAAAGCCGGCATACTCTCTAAACTGTGCAAGGGCAGACCTGGGGGGAGGAGTGAGTAGCCTGTCCCCAAAGGAGTCCAAGCAGAGGTTCTGTGCAGGATGTCTTTGGCTGTGTGGTGGGAAGGGGGTGTCTTGCAGCGTGGCTCATTGCCCAGGAGGACCCCCAGCTGCTTCTGTGACATCCAGGCCGCCGTGGTGCTGATTCCTGGGCTCTGACCTGAGACCTCTGGGTTCTGAGCTGTGATGTTGCTCTCGAGCTGGGATCTCCGGGGTCTTGGTTCAGGGCCGGGGCCTCTGGGTTCGGAGCACCAGCGACGAGAGTGCTGGGAGGGAGGGGGTGGGAGGGCTCGGGTCTTGTGGGAGGGAGAGAAGAAGGGGAGGTGTGGCGGGACCTGCCCAGGAATACATTTTGAGCTGCAGCTGCACCTTTATTGAAGGAGGCGGCAGTGGGGTTTTGGCCGTGGGAGGAGAGGAATGGGGTGCCGCCCAGCACGGCCTCAGGAGGCGCGGTAGTGTGGCCAGTTCTGGATGATGCTGTAGAGCTGGTCGCCTGGAGAGAGCGTAGGCTGCACATCCCGGTGCCCTTTGACCTCATATTTGGAGCTCAGGGCTCCCTGAGCCACACCGCAGGCCAGTAGACTCTGGGCTGCCCGGAGGGCCCGGGCTGGGGGCACCCGATCTGGGGAGGCAGAGGCAGGAGTGAGGTGGGGCTTCCCAAAGGGCAGTGGTAGTGTAGGGTAGTGGGTTTGATTGTGTCCTCTGAGCTGGACTTCACTCTCTGTGCCTCAGTTTCCTCATCCGCGAAAGGAGAGAATAATGGCACCTACCCACAGGGCTGTGGGAGGTAAGAGGAATTATTTTTATGTAAAATCCACAAAATGGCACCTGGCACAGAAGAAGCCCTTAGCAAGCCTTGGCAGTCATAGTGACGATTGCATATTCTCATTCCCCTGTCGCCAGACCTCTGGCTCCCACCCACAACAATAGCTAACATCAATCAAGTGCTGCTTAGGGACTGTGGCCTGGCGTAAGGATTTTTTTTAAATACGGAGTCTTGGTCTGTCACCAGGCTGGAGTGCCATGCTGTGATCTTGGCTCACTGCAACCTCCGCCTCCCGGGTTCAAGCAACTCTCCTGCCTCAGCCTCCTCAGTAGCTGGGACTACAGGAACCTCCCACCACCCTGGCTAATTTTGGTATTTTTAGTAGAGATGGGGTTTCACCATATTGGCCAGGATGGTCTCAATCTCCTGACCTCTTGATCCGCCCACCTTGGCCTCCCAAAGTGCTGGGATTACAGGTGTGAGCCACTGCGCCCGTCTGGCGGAAGGATTTTTTATCAGCTAATTCTCACCCCCACCCTGTGGTTGGAAATGATTCCCATTTTCCAATGGTGGAAAGGAGGCTCAGAAAATTGAGTCACTTGCCTGAGGTCATGGAGCTTGTAGGTGGTGGAGCCTGTCAGCCACTGGCTGCCATGTCCCCGCCCTCCTCAGGCCGCATGTGAGCCCCCATCCTAACTGGCGGGACAGTTACTCACCCATGTAGTTGCCCATGAAGGTGATGCCAATGGACATGGCGTTCCAGAGGTGACTCGAGTGGTCTCCCTTGAAGCCCCAGCCACGGCCCTCATACACGAGCCCGTCTTCTCCAATCAGGAAGCTGCACGGGGAGGTGGGAAGCTTGATGAATGAAGGAGGGCTTCCCGAGAGGGACTCCTGCCCTTTCCTCCACTCACCTTGCCTCTGTTACTGCCCCGGGACACACAACTTCTCCAGCATCCTTTTCTTCCCTTAGTTTTCCACGACTGCTAACAATGACTGTGATCATTTATTGGGCCCCTGGCATGAGCCAAGCACAGCTCTGCATGCAGCCTTTTTTCCATCCTCACTGCAACCCTGTAAGTCACCACCACCCCCATTTTATAGAGACAGAATCAGAGTGATAGAATCACCTGCCCCACGTCACAGCCCATCAGGGGCACAGCTGGGGTTTTCACCCAGGCCTCCGAGGTCCTCACCCATGTGATCTTGTACCTTGCTCCCTCCTGCCTCCCTAGAGGATTTCTGGAAGGCTCGTTTTGCTGAATCCTTGCAGGACTGCCCTCTGAGGCAGGGACTGTTACCATCCTTATCTTAAGCTGAGAGAGCTGAGACTTAGCGACAGGATTTGTACAAGCTCCTCAGAGCCCCCTTTGTCTCAGAACTCTGCCCTCGTCCCAGCCTGCTTCCTGCCCTCGGGGTCCACTGGGGTGACAGGATCAGAGACAAAGTTGGTGTCACAACCAGATACCGACCCTGGAGCCCCAGCACCTGCCTCTTGGAGGTTTCCAAGCCTGGCAAAATCCTTAAGGCTGATTCATTCAGCACATCTGATTGAATGCATCTGACTTGGCACATGGGAATGAACTAGAACATCAGTGTCTGGGAGCTGCAGTATGTGCTAGCTCAGCCCTAGTGCTCACAGCTTCCTTAATGATGCACAGAATGCCGGAACTTCCGAATCTTGAGTCCTGAATCTACCGCTTAGGAAGCCAGCTCCCAGAATCTGGCCTTGGTGATGCTGGCTGCTGGGACTGGCTGGTTATGGCCGTGCCTTATTCCTGGTGCCTGGCATGGCAGTGGAGGGGAGGGGGGTGGCTGGTTCTCCCTGGTCATTTATTGCATGAATGTGTTGTATTTGACCGAGTGTAGAAAGTTATCACAAGACAAAAGTATGCCAGATTGCAGGGTCATTTATTATGCCGGCGACCACAGAGGACTCACGTCTCTCCAACCTGTGGTGGCAACAGGAGGGTGCCACGATTTTTTATACCCGAAAAACCACCTTGGGAGTGGGGGTGAGGGGCGGGGATGGGGATGAAAAGGCTTCAGACATTCCGAGGGCTAGTGGATTCTGTAAATTACCTCCTGGGCAGAGATGAGGGTGGGGGTCTCCGGACATTCCAAGGGCCAGGGGACTTTTGTCATTCCGTTTGTTACTTAAGTGGTTTACAGAAGTCAAGATAAACATTTGTTTACACATTATCTGGTTAAGGTGGAAATCACAGACCTTAGTTACTTATTACAAGTCACAGGAGCCAGGATGGAACTAGCTTGGGCTGCTTAGTCTGGCAATTGCCGGTAAGCAAAGGCTAGCAATTCTGGCAGTTACTGATAAGAAAAGGTAAGCAGCTTTACATAGTTTTGAAGAACAAACTGGCAGTTCTATTCACAGAGGCCAAGGACAGTAGTTATTGTAAGGAGAATGGGGCAGCCATTTCAACTTATCTAAAAACAGTTTTGCATTTTATAAAATAGTTTTGCTCCGGTTCTGGCTCTAGGCCAGCACAATATCACAAATGCATTTAAACCTCAGCCACCATCGACAAGTGGGCATAGTCAAAAGCCCCATTTACAGGTGAAGAAACTGAGGCTCAGAGGGAGAACGTGACATGACCTGGAAAGGAGATTCAGAATATTAGAACCAGATTCTGAATCCTAAAAGCTGAGAGCCAGACTTCAGGCTGCTTCTCTGTGTGGTGGTGTAGACCCGAGGCTGCAGAGCCAGGCTTGGCTCTTCATGACCTCATGGGAATGCTTAGAATCCAGCACTTGAGTCTTGGAAACAAAACCTTGAATTTGGAGTCTTTGATAAACTCTTGGAAGAGCTGGGAATACCTTTGGAAACCTCTAGACTTCTTTGGGTGGGGTCTTTTTTTGTTTTGTTTTTTACTTTTTTTCATGACAGCCTCAGGAGGTCCTGAGAACATGTGACCCTGGGTGGGGTCTATCGGGGACCTGGGGATCTGGGGACCCATGTCTTCCTCCAGTAATCTCTGCAGGGGATTCTGATGCTTACCTGGGTCAGAGCCTGCAGGGCTCAAACCTTCCCTCTCCTTGGAAACCCTCAGGCTGGATTGCAGCCCATTGTAAGGAGGCGGTAGCTGGTAAGCCTGGCTAGGACGCGCTTCACCAGGCACCCTTTAGAGTCTGTTCCCCCCACGGCCGCCAGAGGGAGCCTCATACTTAGACCAGCCCCCGACCCCGCTCTGCACGGAAGCCTCCCCTGGCTCCCATCTCACAGTAAAAGCTAGTTTTCACTGTGGTCCACAAGGCCCTGCCTGATCCCGCCCTTTCCTCAGTTCATTCTGCTCCTCCGGCTGTGTTCAGCCACCTTGTCCTTCCCACGGGACCTGCCCATGCAGCCCCGTTGGCTTTGCGTCCTGCACCCCTCCGTCGGCTCCCACATCTCAGAGCCAAGGCAGCCGCTCTCCGGGAGGCCTTCCCTTGCCCCACCCTTCCAAGGATCTCGTGTGGGTCTGGCCCCAGCCTGAGGTCACCCTCCCTCACCTTGTTCCTTTCATCCATCACTTCTGTCACCCTCTGAATTTACCTGTGGCCTTGGCTTGTTTCTCCCTGCTAATCTTTAAACCCTGGGAAGCTAGAGTGGCACCGTTCTTCGTCGCACATCTGGCGCGCTGCCTGGCGCATAGTAGGTCTCTAAAGGCAATAGCCCATGGCTTTGCGGGCCCCTGTGTGCCAGGCAGTGTCCTAGGTGCTTTGCCTGTATTTAAGGAGCAGGTGGGGCGCAATCCCTTGGACTTTGCCGAGGAGGAAGCTGAAGCTGGGAGGACCTGCCCCAGCTGGGGAGGGACCTGCCTCAGTCCTCAGCCAGAGTAAGCTGAGCTGACCCTGGAACCTGGCTCCACACTGAGTCAGCCTGGTTTTCTGTCTCCCAACAAAGGCACCAGGCATCAGGAAGGGGCGCCTTCAAAAGGTGTTGCGGATACGTTGGTGTGTGTTAGGCAAAGCCTGCCCCTTCCTCCAGGGAGCGGGGCTTGGATTTCAGCCCTTCCCCACCTCCCCATGGCATCTTTATGCTGTGCGCTTCTGCCCCATGTCTGCCCCGACCCGCATGGTGACCCAAGGAGAAACGAGAACTGCGAGGTTCAGTAAGCTGCCCGGGGTGTCAGCCGGGTGACCCTAGCACCGATCCACCGATCCCGCTGGTGGGGGCTTGCACACCTTTGCCTCTGGGGTCCCCATCCCGGCCCGTGCCTCCCCACTGCACTCACTTGTAGCCCACGTCGCACCAATTCAGTGTCTTCATGTGGTAGTGCTGCACATTCTGGGCCTGCTGCTGGCACGAGGCTGGGGTGTTGCAGCTGCTGCCCGCCGTGTGCGACACCACCACGTAGCGCACGGGCTGGCTCAGGGGCGTGCTGCACTTTGACGCCAGGGCCCCCCACTCCCTCCGTGGCACTATGGGGCTGCAGCAGGCCGGGGTTTCTGTCTTCTGAGCCTCTTCGAGTCGAAGGAGGCTGAGGAGAGCCCAGGCGAGCAGCGCGGGGCGACGGGACATAGCGGCAGGGGCGCGGGGACCGCTAGGAGTGCGCAGTGGTGGGGCCGCCTTTATCTGCTGGGTGATTCTGGGAGTGGCCCGGAGAGTCTTGCTTCACACCCTGCCGGTAAGTCCCCGCCGGTCCAGCAGACCCGAGACTTGGCTTCCTTCTCTGGCGGGGCCAGGGCGGGATGCACTGGGGTTGGGGTCTGGGTCGTGCCCATGGCAATGACAGGACCGCTCGCTCAGCAGGGAGGGACGCACAAGTCCCTGGGCGCTTCGCCCTGCCGTTTCTGGAAGACCTGGCACCGGGATCCCGGTCCTGCTTGTCTCCTCTCAGTGGAACATTGAACAACTCAACAGGAACTTACACTGCAGAGGCCCAGGGCATTGGCACATCTCCCCGCAAGGATTGAGGTACCAAAGGTGCCTATTTTAAAAACACTTCCTTCTCCCAGGTCCAAGCCTGATACCATTTACCCTTGCAGCAAACTCAAGAGTTGAGTACCTGGAAGCCCATTTCACAGTGGAGTAAACAGGTTGGGAGCAGGGAAGTCAGGGGCTGACTCCAGTGAGTCCGGTGTCTAGAGCCAGACTACCTGCGAGTGAATCCCGGACACTCGGTGTGCGAGAGCCTGCAAGGGATTTTTAAAAATGTGTATTTAAAAATATTTTTTTAATTTTATTTTTTATAAATAATATTTTACTTTTTTTTTTTTTTTGAGAGGGAGTTTTGCTCTTGTCACCCAGGCTGGAGTGCAGTATCGTGATCTTGGCTCCCTGCAACCCAACTTCCGCCTCCCGGGTTCAAGGGATTCTCCTGCCGCAGCCTCTGGAGTAGCTGGGATTACAGGCACGCACCACTATGCCCAGCTAATGTTTGTATTTTTAGTAGAGACGGAGTTCCACCATGTTGGTCAGGCTGGTCTCGAACTCCTGACCTTAGGTAATGCACCCGTCTCGGCCTCCTAAACTGCTGGGATTACAGGCATGAGCCACTGTAGCCGGCCTAATTTTAGTAATAATAAAACTATATATATATGGAGAGAGATGGGGTCTCCCCAGGTTGCCCATGGTTGGTCTTGAACTCCTGAGTTTGAGCCATACTCTTGCCACAGCCTCCCAAGGTGCTGGGACTACAGGCATGAGCCACCGTGTCTGGCCACCCTGCACGTGATTTAACCTTCCCGTGGGGATGATATATAAAGTACCCAACTCAGAGGGTTGATGAGGGATTAGTTGAGTTGCAGAAGCAGATCCCTTAGAAGGTGTCTGGCACAGAATGCCGCAGCCCTACCCCTGGGTCTGGAACTCCAGCCTGCTCTTGGTAGGAAGAAACATGCTTTATGCACGGGTACCTCTGGCAGCTTAGTTAGGGAGAGGAGGGAATCTGGGGTCTGGAGAGAAACAGCCATTTGCCCAGGGCCAGAGTGGGTTGGGGTCACCTGTTGGAGCAGAAGGCTTTCCTGGGCCCTCTGTCCTGCCCAGGTCCCCTTCCTTTGCCTTCCCAGCACTTGTGGTGAGTTCAGGGCAGACAGCCTGGTTCGCTCTTCTTCCCCTTCTACTTCACTGGCTCTTTAAAAAATTGCAAAAGGGATCTCTCATTTGCTCTCTGACAAGGAAATCAAATAAATTACAAAAGTAACACATGCTTTAAGCAGTTGAATTGATACAAAATGTTAGTCACCTGTGTCCCACCCCTCCAGCTCTGCCCACATGAGGCCACCTGGGAACAGTATGGTGTGTTTTCTTTTTCTTCTTTCTTTCTTATTTTTTTGAAACAGAGTCTCCCTCTGTTGTCCAGGCCGGAATGCAGCGGATCCATCTGGGCTCACCACAAGCTCCACCTCCCATGTTCAAATGATTCTCCTGCCTCAGCCTCCCAAGTAGCTAGAATTACAGGTGTGTGCCACCACGCCCAGCTGGCTTTTGTATTTTTGTAGAGACAGCGTTTCACCATATTGGCCTGGCTGGTCTTGAACTCCTGACCTCAGGTGATCCACCCGCCTTGGCCCCGTAGAGTGCTGGGATTACAGGTGAGCTACCGTGGCTGACCAGTGTGGTGTGTTTTCATCCTCCGTGTTCTGCATTCTCATGTACATTGTACTCATGCTGTTATTAAATTGTGCACTAGGCATCTGTAGCACTTTCCAGAAATTATCATATACTCACAATAAGCTTGCAAGATACATGTTATTATTAACCCCTTTTACAGTTGATGAAACGGAGGCTGGTGGGGGGGGTGATGATCACATACAGGAGGTGGTGAAGTCAGGGTTTGGCCACAGGCTTTCTGTCTCCAGAGTTCTAAACCGTATTCTCCTCCCTACAAACTTGTATAGGGACATTAAAAAAAAATCTAAACCATCTGCCTCAATGTCACCTAATATTTTATGGGCATCTCTCAAGTGCTGTACATTTAATTCTAATTTATTCTTTGTAATAGTTGCACAATATGCCGTAGTATCAGTTCAGCATTGTGGATCTCTTAGTTTTTGAAGGTTTTCCAGTTTTTTTCCCCCACTACACAAAATAGTTTCAGACATACATCCCTATGCACTGGTGCATTTATAAGTGAATTATAATCACAGAGTTATTAGGTCAAAGAGTATACATATTTAATTACTATTACTAGATTGTTTTCCCCCCAAAGCTAGTAATACTTGATATTTTTCTTTTCTTTTCTTTTTGAGACAGAGTTTTCACTCTTGTTGCCCAGACTGGAGTACAGTAGCACAACCTTGGCCCACTGTAACTTCCACCTCCCAGGTTCAAGCAATTCTCCTGCCTCAGCCTCCCAAGTAGCTGGGATTACAGGCATAAGCCATCACACTGGGCTAATTTTTTGTATTTAGTAGAAATGGGGTTTCACCATGTTGATCAGGATGGTCTCGAACTCCTGACCTCAGGTGAACCACCTGCCTCCTAAAGTACTGGAATTACAGGCATGAGCCATGGCACCCAGCAATAATTCATATTTTTCACCAGTAATGTTTTGGAGCCTCCTCATCCCAGAAATGGGTGTTATTACCTCTTTTTTTTTTTTTTTTTTTTTTTTTGAGACGAAGTCTCACTCTGTCACCCAGGCTGGAGTGCAGTGGCACAATCTCAGCTCACTGCACCCTCCACCTCCTGGGTTCAAAGCCATTTGCCTGCCTCAGCCTCCCAAGTAGCTGGGACTACAGGGGCATGCCACCACACCTAGCTAATTTTTGTATTTGTAGTGGAGACAAGATTTCCCCATGTTGGCCAGACTGGTCTTGCACTCTTAAGCTCAGATGATCCACCCACCTTGGTCTCCCAAAGTGCTTTTTTGTCAATTACTTATTCATATCCAGTGCCCATTAAAAAAATATTAGGTTGTTTGCCTTTTTTTTGTTGTTATTTGCAAAATGAACAAAAGAATCCCATAATTGGGATTGTTTAGTTCTTAGGTGTGTACATTTTGTGTATTTCAGGTTTTTTTAGAAGCACTAAAGAGTAATGTAATATAAAAAGTGTACAAACACTTTTTTTTTTAACAGAGTTGACTTAATAGAGTAGTGAGCTTATGAATTTGCATGAAGTGAATCCACCTGTGTATCCAGTGCCTGGATTAAGAAGTAGAGTTACACTTAAAATTTTAATAGGAATTAGCAAATACAATACCAAAAAGATTTTAGTATTTATTTTTTCTACAGTATGATCAGTTTTTAAGTGTTTTACTATCCAAAGAACAAGATTTCATTATTGCTTTATTTGCATTTCCTTGAACATTAGAGAGGTGATTATCTTTTTACATGTTTATGGCTACCAATATCCATTTTCAAGTCATCCGTTCACCTCATCATTTTCTTGTTGAGTTATTATATATGGGGGATATTAGCCCTGTGTCTTATCAAATGTGCTACAAAGCTTCTAATCTGTTTAAAAAAAATCTAGATTTTTCTTTTATGGTTTCTGTGTTTCCTGTCTTAAGAGGGACTTTTCACACTAAGATTGTAAAACTTTTTCTATTTAAAAAAGATTATTTTGTGTTTTACTTTTAGATCTTTACCTTGGCTAAAATGTATACTTGCATGTGGTGTGAGGTAGGGGTCTGAGCTTGTTTACAGATGGCTAGCTGTTTGGCCAAGTACTATTTATTATATAAGTGATATGATTTTAAAATTCTGTTCTGTCCCTTATTAGCTGCATGATCTTGGGCAATTGGGTAGCAATTGACACAGTCAACCACTTCCTTCCTGAAATACTTACTTCCTTTAGCTTTTGTGATGTAAGATTGCCTTGCTTTTCCTTCTGTTTCTCTGGCTGGTCTTTATCCCTGTCTCTTTTTTTTCAGAGTAATTTTCCCTCTGGACCCTCACAGTATACATTTTGTGCTGAGTGACCTTATCCACATAATGGCTTTAGCCATAGTCAAAATGGAGAGGATTCCTGTATATTAGTTTCTAGTCCAGAGCTCTCAGCTGAGTTCTGGATCTGTGTATCTACCTGCCCACCTGACGCCTCTACTTGGACATCCTACAGGCACCTCCAGTGCAAAATGACTCATGACCACCTTCTTCACATCATTACTCTCTCAGAAGTTCCTGTCTAAGGGAATTGTATCACCATCTTCCCATTACAAAAGCATAAATTTGAGCATGATCCTTGACCAATTCATGTTCCTTCCTCTGTTGTACCCAGCACTGAAAGCAATGCCCAGCATATAGTAGGTGCTCACTAAATAGCTACTGAATGATTGAATGGATATGCAACCCACCACCAAGTCATGCCATTGTGATGAATTAGACCTATCTACTTCCGGTCTCTGCACCCTGGTCCAGCCACTGCCTTCTCTCACCTGGATTTTGCCCTGCCTCCTTCAGTGACCTCCCTGCGTGAACTCTGGCCTCTGTGAGGCCAAAACTCTGCTCAGGTCTTTTCTGAAGGTCACCCTCAAAAGTTAGTCACATTTTTCAGTGGCATCTCACGGTTCCTAGAATGAAGCCCAAGCTACTCCCCATGGCCAACAGCATGGGCTGCCTACAGTGCGGGCTGCCCCCATCCCAGCCTCACTCTGCTCACTCCCAAGAGCCTCTTTCTGACTCCTGCAGCCACTCTCCCCTTCTTGCTGCCCTTGGACATGCTTTGACTACTCTGCCCCCTTGGGGACTTCAGACACACCACGTGTAAGTTGTAAATAGAGGAAGCTGGAGCAATTCAGGAACTTTGTACCTTAGCTTTAAGATGACAAAACCCCCACCCAGCCTTTTGTAAGAAGACAGGACTATTTACACATCAGATTCCTTTTTATATTTGTATTTTCTTTTTTCCCTTTCTTTTGTCTGTTCCTTCTT